TACAGACACAATGAAATGTCATCAGAACACAAACAGGAAATCGGGGTCACTTGTGCACCTTAGGATGACAGCCTATCATGCAATGGCCAGAAGCAGTGCTCTGTAGAAATTAAAGGGCAGAAGGCCTCGATCAAGGATGGAGGAGGGGAAAGCTAAGTCAAGAACAGTAAGCCGGCCTTCTCGCTGTCAGAGCACACTGCAGAAAGTAGTGGAGCCCAGGCTGCCTTGGTCAGCACCTCCTAAGTATGGCACCAGGAGGTCCTGGGGCTGCCCAGCTTTGGGGATGAGTAAGGGGTCAGGGTCCTTCAGGGACCTCAGCTCTCCCATGACCACATGAGGCTTTGGGGGAACATCTAGACACAAGTCACGACACAGTTTAGGGCCCCCTGGCTGAGCCATCACAGGATCTTCAGCCGTCTGACATTCTGGAGCACCTAGTAGCCCTCAAAAGGCAGGAAGCAATGAAGGTGGGCTGCAGTCAGACCAGGGAACCAATAAGTCCAGGTGTAGGGCAGGAGGCTGCGGCAGCACAGCAGGCTAACACACCACAGCACCCGTCCCAGGCCCCTCGAGGGACGTGCCCAAGGAGCCAATGGGGCCAGCCACCTTTATCCTGCCAGAGCACTGTGCATTTCTCAATTTGCACCCATAGAAACATGCTCTACGCTAATTGTTAAATAAAGACAGCATTAATATTCGTATCATTGCAAATGCTTACAGGTTATTTTTACAGATTTTGAATAAATTTAGAATCACATAAACAGTCTCTGCTCTATGCACAACAAAAACCTTTTTTAGAAACAAAGTGTATGTCACACACTGAGTCTGGCCTCGTCTGCACATCAGCACTGGCAAGACACATGGGCACCCAGTCTCTGCCCCTCAGCATACCTCAGGGACAGGAGGAACTGAAGGCGGCCTTCGCTGAACAGCGGCTCCTTACCCTGCAGCTGAGCACAGCCAAGTCCAACTGCATGAGAAGCGCCATTACTGTGCTCTTCTGCAGGCAAAATGAGTAACCTTTATGGTCTCCAATTCCTCGCCATCTCAGCTTTCTTCAAGGTCCTGTGGTTGTTCTTAGTCTGGGGCTATATGCAATTCATTACAAAGTCGGCTACTTAATTCTATTCAGCACTTAAAGCCGCTTAACAGCAGAACACATCGCAGCTCCCCATGCTAATAAGGCGGCAATGAAGGCACAAGTGGCCAGATGCTAACTCAGGGTGCTGCATTAAGTCTGTACTAGCCACCAAGCTTCTCAGCCATCACAGAAAGCATTTGTATTTGGAATCAGTATAGGAAACAGGAAGTCTCTAGATTTGAAGAAAGCAAGAGAAACAACACCCTGAGTTGCCCAGTGTTTCCCAGTCTCAATGCCTGCAGGGCAGCCTTAAGACAAGGCCAAAGGGAGCTGGGCTCAGTTGTGCACACCCAGAATTTCAACATGTTGGAAGGTTGAGGCTGGAGCGCCCCAAGCTTGAGACTAACCTAGGCAACTCAGCAAGTGAGACCCTGCCTTAAAAGAAACATGAAATAGGAAAAGGCTGGGGATGTAGCTTAGTGCAAAGACTGCAATGAAACCTGAGGGGGAAGGGGGAAAAGAAGGAGAGGAGAGGGGAGGGGAGAGGAGAGCACAGCAGAGGAGAGCACAGCAGAGCAGAGCATAGCAGAGGAGAATGGAGGGGAAGGGAGGAGAGGAGAGGGGAAGGGAGAGAAGGAAGGAGAGGAGGGGAAGGAGGGGGGAGAGGAGGGGGAGAGAAGGGAGAAGGGAGAAGAGGGAAAGGGGGGAGGGGAAAGCAGAGGAGAGCAGAGCACAGCAGAGGAGAATGGAGGGGAAGGGAGGAGAGGGGAGGGGAGAGAAGGAAGGAGAGAGGAGGAAGGAGGGGGGGGGGGGGGGGGGGGGGGGGGGGGGGGGGGGGGGGGGGGGGGGGGGGGGGGGGGGGGGGGGGGGGGGGGGGGGGAGGGGAGGGGAGAGAAGCGAGACGGGAAGAGAGGGAAAGGGAGGGCGGGGGAGGAGGGGAGGCAAAGGGAGGTAAGGAAAGGAGGCAAAGAGGAGGCTTAGCAGGTCCTTGAGAAGCACCAGGAGGGCGGTGATGTCCCTGAAGAGATAGCCGCAAGCCCACTGTCCATGACAGGTCTCCTCAAATACCATCCTCAACTGATCGCACGGCTCAGTATTGAGTGCACGTGCCAAAAGCGTCACACACTCCAAGAACAGCGTCTGGAATCCAAGGCAACACACTTTCAAACACACACAAGATGAACGGTGCGCTATCCTTCAGTAACGCTTGTTTGGATCAACGTCATCATGATGCAGCACAGCAGAAAGCTGGTCCACAGTAGTCCCAGGGCGTGCTGGGAAAGCTCTAGGTGGGCGCTCCCTACAGCTCGCTGCTCATTAAGGGCACGACCGAATCAGACGAGTCTGTCCCCTTGAGTGCTGCGTCACGTGTCCCTGACATAGAACTCCAGGGCCTTGGCAGGAGCAGAGCAGAGGAGGTGAAGCACAGCCGCAGAACCCCAAGTCCCATGAATCAGGACAGCAGCGAGCCTTTGGGCAAAAGACCACTGCCTCGCAGGGTCCCTGGATGTCCTCAGGGCCGCCCTTTGGCCGGCTTCCCTCTCCCTTCCAATCCCTCCCTTCTCATCTTGCTCGACATCCCCTTTGTCCCCACTAACCGGTTTTACTGTTCTCAGAAACGCATCATCCTAAAATCAGACCTGCCCAGGACACTCCCGGTGCAGTCCTGAGCACTGGGAGAGAGTATTCCAGCCATGAGCCAACACCCCACCCCCACCAGCCCCTTGATAAAAAAGAAAAAGGAAAAACACGAAGTTCTGATTGTGTTCACCCCCCCCCCCCGAAAAAATGACTCAGACTCTCCATTAAGTTTCCAAAGGTCCTTGATCCAAACAAGAGTTCTGATCCAAATCTGGGGCCCAACACTGCGTGGGACTCCCTGGAGATGACCCAAAGCCTCATCTCCCTGGAAGCCTCACAGCCCTTCCACATGGGCCTGGAACTTTCTAGCAAACAAGCCTTGGCACTTGGCTCAAGGCCCAGCCAGCTTCGAAGCACAGCTGGGCTACACCTGGGCACCACGACTACTCCCCTCCTCACCCCACCTCACTCTAGCAGACTGACTCCCCTATAGGTCACTGGGGAAGCAAGAGATCCCAGGGATCTAGCCCAAGTCCTCTGCCTTTCTGGGATGGCCCACCCCAGCTCACCATTGCCAACCACCGTCATCCCAACAGTGCTCCCTCTTTTCCCCCCGAGGGTGTCCCAGCCCGACAGCAGAGCCCACATCCCCCTTGGTTTTAAGGCAGTGAGGGACACCACTTCCCACCAAGCATGACAGCTCTAGGCACCAGCCTGCAGCTGGGCATTCCCCACAACAGGCAGCCTTTCCTTTACACAGTGAAGAGCAGCTGCCATCAGCAACAAGGACAGAGGCTCCAGACCCCCGCACCCAAGCCAGGGGACGCAGGCCGAGTGCCCAGACCAGGGGCAGGCATGCTCAGTGCCCAGCAGCCGTGTGCCCTCCCCACACACCCCAGCATTCTCCAGGCACGGACTACGCACCTGGAGTATGTTTCTCCAAACTAACCAAACAGGTTTTCCACTTGGAGGAAAAGGAGAGAGGCACCAACACCAAGCCACAGTGCACAAGGCACACACCTCACATCCACTCCTTTCTGAAGGCTTCTTCTACCAAGCCCAACTCAGAGACTACAGTGTCTGTACTGCCAGAAGCTCCAGCCGAAAGACAGGAGTGCTCGAAATTCTGCCAAGTGGCCCCACACTACTTTGGGATTTGGGAGGGAAGGGAAGCAGCATCGTGGAGCTCATGAAAACTGCAGCGAACTCACAAGGGCTGCAGGCGTGCCTGTGGCAGGTTCATCCCCACAGCCTCACTTGGACCCCGGGCGTCTCATAAGGCTCTTGACACTGACAAATGAAATGTACTAGCAAAAACATTTTGAAAAGGCAAAAATGACAGCACAGACATTAATTACTGTACACAGAAACTATGTTTAAAGTTTCAAACTAGAAGGTGAAATAGTATTAAGACTTGAGTATTTTTTATAAGTCACTTTTTTTTTTTTGCGGTACCAGGGATTGAACTCAGGACCTTGTGCTTTCCAGGCAAGTGCTTATTCCACTGAGCCATCTCCCCAGTCCTATAAGCCACATTTAAATACCAACTTCCTTTTAGTCTCAAGAGTATAAATCAACCTCAAAGCACACTAAGTTTTGGAATTAAACTTTACATTTGACAGCACTAAAGGCTAAGCCAGATGTCCACGTCCAAGAGAAGCATGGTAACACAGAGGAGACAGTGCCACATAGGCCACCATGCTGTCTACAGGGTCCTCGGCAGGACACAGCAGTCACAGCCCCCAGTGTCCAAGGGTCTTCTTATAAGACCCTTACCTGATGATCCCTCATTCCATACAGTAACATTTCCAACAGAACACAAACCTACCTACCAAAGATTTTCTCAGCTTCCTCTCAATACTGTGACTGTATGCGTCTAGTGTCACTTCCAGGGACAGTGTCAGCACTCCTAGGTGGGGAACCAAGAGTGTCCAGAGGGCCTACAATGCACCAGCCACTCGATGCTGTATCTTCATACGTATTTCTCACAATCACACACTTCACAGCCAAAGATATGGGAGAACAAACAGTGACTTTCCTCCTGCCAAAGAGCCCTGATCACAGGATCTTGGGGTCCTGGCCAGAGCTTCCCCATGACCCCTCGCAGTACCCTGCACAAGACAGCCCCAACACACACACACACACACACACACACACACACACACACACCCGTGGTGCTAGAGATCAAACCCAGGGCCTTGTGCACAAGGCAAGAACTCCACCACTGAGCCACATCCCCATTCGGGGTGCTTAATCTCATGCACGTGATGTCAACCACTCTGAAGGCTGTTGCCATTGCTTCTGCTCAAAGACATCATCCCACCTGCCTCATACTCACCCCAACAGGATGATACAGGAGGACAAGTCTTTTCTGAAGCACCAGAAAAGTGATTTTCAGGGGCCGGGGAGATGGCTCAGTGGAGTAAGTGCTTTCCTGGCAAGCACAAGGGCCTGAGTTCAATCCCTGGTTCCACAAAAAAAAAAAAAAAAGAAAGAAAGAAAGAAAGAAAGAAAGAAAGAGAAAAGTGATTTTCAAAATGCAATAAAAAAAAAAAAACCTTAAAAAAAATGCAGTAAACTTAGGGCTGGCAAAATAGCTCAGTAGAGGGGCTGGTGAGATGGCTCAGTGGTCTAAAGCACCTACTTAGAACAAGCATAGCAAAGCACAGGGACCGCGGTTCAATCCCACAGTAAATTCCATTAGTAAATTCCATTTGTAGACTGCATAGAACATAAAATCATAAAAAAGGAAATGTCATGTTTTCAATTAGCTGAACATAATAAGACTTTAAAAGTCAAGCAAGTCTTAAGGAATATCCAAGACACTTTTGATAGAGGCATGAAGAAAAGACAGGAGACAAGTCAAGTGGCATTTTGTAAACACTGAAAGAACACTGCTCAGTAAGGTGGAAAACTGCAGAGTCTGACCACTCCGGACGCACCTGGGAGGAGGGACGAAACATGCCCAAGTATGCATACACTGATGGTCTGACTGCAGAGGTGCTGCAGCCCCCAATTGAAAGGAAAGCCTCATCCCTGAAGTTGTCTCTGCACCTGCCCATTCAAATTCACCCTCTTCTCTCAACAAACACCAACAAATTCGCTAGTAACAAAGGCACTGCACAGCAGGTAAGGTAAGGTAAGGTAAGGTATTTCCACAAAATCCAGAACAGACAGATGGAGGAAGGATTTCATTTTACAGGAAACAAAATGGTTTTATAAACATGATTGCTCACAAAAGAAAATGAAGACCTGTTCCAGATGCTGCAAGAACCACCCTAGTACACAGCACAATAAGAGTGTCTTCAACAAAATTTTTGAACGAAAATCTTCATATTAGAAGGCAGTATATCCTTGAGACCACAAATAAATGAAACAAGAGGATCAACTTGGTGTCTGGGGGCATCGTTTAGTTGTAAAGTGCTTGACTATCACGCATGAGGCCACAAAATAAAAACATAAAAGGACATAAACTCTAGAACCACGATGCTTTGGTTCAGATCTCTAACCTGAAACTTACTGTGTGTAACCTGCAGTGGAGGATTACTTAACCTCCATTTCCTCAAAATGATTAGAGGATAACGCTAGTGCCTGGGAGGCTCCTGCAAGTGTGCTGACTCTAAAGATCCCCTGACAGTCTGGAACAGTAAGCCGCAAACACTTTTTCATGCCCTCACATAAGTGCCATGATTGAGAAGGCTACCGTGGGGCACCCAAGGCAGATTCTTCGAGGAGAGGCAGCCACCCATTTCTTCCTCATCCTGTTTGGATGACAACACCCACAGAAAGCAGGTGCTCCAAGGGCGGAAGCGCCACCCTCAGCGCTCCAACCCCAACAAGGAAAAGGCGAACTAACACGCTGGAGCACCTGTGTGCCACAGGCTGCCGCCGCCATAGCTCCATCCGCTCTTCTTATCAGCAAAAGCAGATGTCACACGCCAGACGGGGAACGAGGACGGGCGAGAGGTCAAAGTGAACCCTTAGCTCTGGCTTCCGGGTACCATCAGGGTCGCTGGGCCTCCCTCAAGAGCGCGGTGAGCTACACAAACGCTCCCCAAGTGCGAGTCAATGGCCGACTACTAGGCTCCCGCAGTCGTGCCGTGCCGCCCCCAGGAAACGCTGCGACCCGGTCCAGCGCTGGTTCTCCGCTCGGGACAGAGCCCTGAGGCCGCCGACCGCCCCCTACCTGCTCACCGCACGGGAGCCCGAGAGGCCGCTTTCGCGACTACCCGACCGTCGTCCTCATCGGGGCTTACAAACTCCCACAGCCTAAGGATGTACTCCTCGGCGGTCAGAAGCCGCCCCACAAGTCACACTCCCCAAGGTACTTCCGAGGCGGGACGTCCCGCAGTGCGCGCAGCTGGCCCGCATTCACGAATGAGGGCAGAAACGAAGGCGCGGGAGCGGCTCCAGGAGGGCAGCGGCGCCGCGGGCGTCTCCGAGGTGAAGGGAGGACGGTCGCGCGGGCCCGCTCACGCCCGCAGCCGTCGCGCGCACAGCCGGGCCTGCCTCCGGCCGCAGCCACGTCCCGCG